AATTTGCAGAACAGATGTGTTTAAAGAAAAAAGTACTTTGTATTACATTAATAAGAATAAAAAAAAAGAATTCAAGTGTAAATTGCAACTTCAAAGCTATCAGGTCCAAACCTTCCAACACAGACCTAAGTTACATCTTGCTCAAACAGCTCTACGTTTCAATAAAAATTCCTACAGCCTGCCATGACTGTTTTGTATGAGCCTGTGGTGTCTTGCTCATGGATTTTGTCCTTTAACACTTCAGTCTGAATGACAGACAGAAGCGTTGCCACACATTTAGGATAGGTAAGATGCAGGGTGTAGTAGTATGCCATAAGACACAGCAAACCTTCTCCAAGGTCATCTGTGGCAAATGTGGTGATGGGAGTGGTTCCAACTGCAATAAGACAGGGGGACCCTTCAAAGAGCAGAACAGGGCTGACGCTGGATCTTCTGTTGGCAAAAGAAAAACAAAGACAAAATTGTACAATGTACGGAGAAACTCCAAAGCTATCAGGGTAGTTCAAATACTTAACCACAAGTATGTATTAGACTTAGACTTCACTTTATTGATCCCTTTAGGGTGCACCCTTGGGGTGATATATGAATGATGACAACCATAGATCAGATGCGCTACAGACCATATTAATGTTATTTTTCTTTAGATGGACAAATACTGTATAGAAATTCCCTAATATTCATGCCATTGAAAAATGTAATGAATTCTGCCTCATCACCATTAGGATTATGTCTTTACACACTTTAGAAAATGACAAAGTTACTGCACCTGTGATAGTTAAATATGTAATTATTTCCATTTTGTTTTTAATTTCTTTATGATTTTCTTTATTATTTCTATTGAAATTTTTTGATCTATCAGTGTTTGTGCCATGTGTGCTTGGCATGGATGATAAGGCCATATGCCAAATAAACTGTTAAAGTGAATGCTTTAGGGGCATTATTTGATAACAAATATAAAGAAACCCAGACCTGAAGGACATGAATCAGTGCTTCACTGGCATGTCCCATCTTCTTGCGTGGTGCAGCTCATGATGGGAAGAGAGCTGGTAGTGCCCTGAACAGGGCTATGTTTAAACAGAACAGGAAAGAAAGAACTAAATCAACTTTCAGTTCAATATTCAATATTATTGCCATAATTGTAATCTTTCACTTACAACTGTTGTCACCAGAACTGCTCCTTGGTGGCAAAAGCATGTTTGATCCACCACTTGAATCTGCATCATAATCTTCTCTCTGGTCACATGGTGAGATGTCCATGAGACACCTTTTCTTTAGTTTCATCCTAAATAAGAAAACAAAAATAGTTAGATTACAGGAGTCCCTAACAAAATGTGTTGTGCTAGGTGTTTTTAAATCAAAAGCCCGTGCGCGCCCATGCGCGCACAGACACGCAAGCGCACTCACAGGCGCTCACGCAAACAGATGGCATTTTTGCCCATAAAAAAAGTAAAAAAAATTCTTTAGTTTAAAATGAGAAAAATGCTACTGATGATAAAAATTGTATATTTTGCTAAATGTCCTCAGGCAAGAGTTGCTCTCTGATGCATCCATCAGTGTGTCAATGTTTGAATGTTGGTTTGGAAGCACTTAAAAGCATAGAAAAAAAAGGATTGTGTAAATGTGGTATGTTGTATAAAGCGCTTTGAGTGCTCCCCGAGTAAGAATCAGTCCATTTACCATAAATTTAAACCAAACATCCCCAACTACTTGTTTCTCTTTAGGATCTTTTACTTTTAATGACAAACCTAGATGTTCAAACAGTCTTTATGCTTTGGGATGCATTTCATTTGTTATTTGAGACATCAGCATGTTGAAGCAAGACAGGGAACACACCCACACACATAAAAACCTATTGCTCCC